GGTTAGGGAAAGATGGCGGTGATAATGAAGTTCTAGCAACGGCCTGAAGGGGCGCATACGGCGTTGACGTATTTTACATGTGTAAAAAACTAAGGACGTAAAATACCTAGTATTTTACATGTCTAAAACCGTGTAATTTACATTGAGTATTTTACGTGCCCAACCCTGGTGAGTGGTAACTCGCCTTCGACACGGTCAAGTCTGATCACCTTGCCGTGTACCGAGATCTCAATAAAGTTCTCATATATCCTATCAGTGAGTGAGTTCTTTCCCGCCTTAGCATACCGGCTATCGGCTACGAAGTATTGTGGGCGCTTCAGCCGGGCCGTAATAATATCGACTGGCCCCACAATTGGTGACCCCGACGTGATCGCGCATCCGCGCCTTTCACGCTCGCATCGGCGGAACTGGGATCAACGGCGAGGCTCAGGTCTTTTCCCCCGCTTTCTGGGATTGACCTGCAGCGCGAAGAGGACCTCATCCACGCCCTATCGGCCCTGAGGATCCTCGGACTGCCCGAAATTGTGGCATCACCGACGCCTGGGCAAGTCCATTATCGGGCCTTCCCGAAACTTCGGGCGAGTCTACTACCGCCCGAGGGAGGCCATTTTGGGTGACGCAAGAGCGGTCGTTCTCCATCCACGGACTCAAGTCGACGGGATTCCGCCCGGTGGTATCTCCGGCGACGCGGCCGCACCTGGTTAAGGGCGCACCCAGGTCAGTGCACGATTTGTGCCGGCGTAGTCATCCCGGCGGACGCGCATCCCGCGCAGTCATCCCGACGGACTTCTTCGTGCCGGCGTAGTAATCCCGGCGGACGCGCATCCGCGCAGCCATTCCGGCGGGCATTGCCGTGCCAGCGCAGCTTTCGCGCTTACGCAGTCATCCCTGCGGACGCGCATCTTGCGCAGCCATACCAGCGGACATCTCAGGTTCGAGCAGCATCACCTCCTGCAGGGGACGACGCCCCTTCGAGAACTTCGAGACCGTCGAGGCACATGCTGTGCCTTTCCTTGGTATTTCTCCTTTGCTTCTTTTCCTTTTTCGCATTTCTCCTCGGTTCGCGGTCCGCGTCACATAGCTTAATTATGCCCAACGAAGACGCGCGCGTAGAAGCGTACCGAGTGCCGAAAATCCCGCCCTTCTGGCGGCAGGCCCCGGAAGCATGGTTCGTTCAAATCGAAGCATCCTTTCGATCCGCGGGTATCACAGTAGATCGTACTAAGGCCGATTGCCTGCTTACCGGAATCGACGCCGAGACGATCACGCATGTCCTAGACTTAGTAACGGCGGACCCACCGCCGGATAACCTGTACAAGCAGCTCAAAGACCGGATTCTCGCGACATTTGCGGTCTCACCGGAGGCCCGTTTACGGCAATTGTTAAAGGGTCAGGTACTGGGGGACCGGAAGCCCTCACACTTATTGAGTCAGATGAATCAGCTCAACGGCGGGCAATGCAGCCCTGCCGTAATAAGATCTCTTTTTCTAGAGTTGTTACCCGACGCGCATAAGACCATTTTGGTCGCAATGAACGAATCTGACCCCCAAAAATTAGCAGAAACCGCGGACAAGCTTGCGGACATTAGTAGTCCTAGTTCCGCGGTCGCCGTTATCGCACCAAATAAAGAATCTAAAAGCACTCGTCCTAAAGCTCCTTTGAGCACTGACGAACGGATCAGTAGGCTTACTAAGCAGATCCAGTCTTTGAGCACCGCGTTCGCAAAAATGCGACGCGAACGATCCACATCCCGTACGCGTAATAAATCTAAGCGTGGTGATGAAGCAGATAAGTCTGATGTTAAGACAGACTACTGCTACATTCACCGTAAATACGGGAAGAAAGCCACGTCCTGCCGCAAGCCTTGCTCGTGGAAAGATGACGCGGCGGAAAACTAAACCGCTCTCCCCGCGAAGAGACGGTCGGGGATTTGGGGCCGAAACAAAACCGTCTTCACGTTTTTGATCGGACTACCGGTCAACGGTTTTTGGTTGATACGGGCGCGGAGATATCTATACTCCCAGCGTCCCTGCGCGATAAAAATACGCCTTCTGAATTAAAACTTTTCGCAGCTAATAATACTGTGATTAATACGTTCGGCGAGCGTCTTCTTACTCTAGATCTAGGCTTGCGGCGTCCTATCGTGTGGAAATTTCGCGTAGCGAACGTGCCCTTTGCGATCCTCGGTGCAGACGTGTCGACGCATTATAAG